GCTCACAGAGGGGGTTCTGTGCTGCCTGTTCATTTGTAGGTGCTGGGTTGGAGATCCAACCTCCTGGACAACCTGGATAACTTTGGGAAAGCCAGAGGTTCTGGAATGGATTTGCAGTGTAGGGAAAGACCCTGTGACCCAGGGGCATGGGATGTGTGAGCAGCAGGCACAGCCCCCGGAGGGCAGCCAGTCCTCCATGCTCCCACTTCCGTCCTCCTGCTGTTGCAAATGGATGTTAACTTGCTGGGAATTGCTCTCAGCCTTGCTGCTTTTTAGCTGGGCTTTTAGGAGGAGCAGTGGGAACCACCCCAGTGCTGGCTCCAGGCAAGTCCCACCAGACCATGGTGGTTTTGGCATGTGCAAAAATAAAATAAAAGCTCTGGTCTCTGGGGAGCCAGCCAGCTGAGAGCGGATGAGCACTCCCATTAATGTGTCATTAATGTGCAGCTCTGGCGTTGGCTCTTTTGGCAGTGCAGAGGTAATTACAACCCAACTGTAAAGCATTGCACATGGATTTATTTACTGCCTCATTAGCAGCATCTGTTCTCCCAGCAAAGCGGCTCAGCTGTTTGCTCTCGTTCAGGGAAACCGGTGGAACTCATTGCATGGATGGTCTGTGATAACTCACCTCCTTGGGCTGGAAACTGGGCTGAAGGAGGTGAGCACCCCACTGTGGTTTCATTTTCACCCTGCTTGCTGGTTTAGTGCCTGTGCCCAGCACCTGAGCCCAGAAGGGGGCACAGAGCCTCACCCCAAACCTGAAGGACATGGCTGTGTTTGAGATCCAGCAGCATTTCTCTTCCCACCTGTCTCCCAGCACTGCCCCACAATGTTTAACCATCAGAAAATCACAGAATCATCAAGTCATGGAATCATCTAGGTTGGAAAAGCCCTCTAAGATCATCAAGTCCAACAATCAACCCAGCACTTCCACTGTGTTCTTCACTCAACCATGTCCCCTAATGCCACTTCCACTCTTTTTTTTAACACTTCCAGGGATGGTGACTCCACCACTGTCCTGAGCAGTCCGTTCAAATGCTTGATGAGCCTTCCAGTGAAGATTTTTTTTTTTTCCCTAATGTCCGGCTTAAACCTCCCCTGGTGCAGCTTGAGGCCATTTCCTCTTTTCCTGTTCCCTGGGAACAGAGCCCGACCCCTCTCCAGCTGTCCCCTCCTGTCAGGGAGTTGTGCAGAGCCAGAAGGGCCCCCCTGAGCCTCCTTTTCTCCAGGTTGAGCCCCTTTCCCAGCTCCCTCAACCATCCTTATAAGGCTTGTGCTCCAGACCCTTCACATCTCTGTTTCCTTCTCTGGACACAACTCTTCTCCAGCAAGAGGCAGGGGGATGCCTGGGCCTGCTGCTGCAGCACCCTCAGCTCACTGAGAGCTGCAGTTGCCCGGGCTCCCCAGTGTGTTTGGCTCCCCAGCCAAATCTGAGCCACAGCAGCCAAATCAGTGCTGCAGCATCCACTGCCTTGGCTGCTGTCCTGGCCCAGTGTTACTGCTGAGCACATTTCCTAAGGAAAAGGGACGCTGTGTTTGTTAACTTGAGTGTTGTGGCTAATGCAAGTTAAGTGGCTGCAAATCCACTGGAGAAGCCAGTTCATTTAGGGCCCAGAGCATAATGGGGGGAGGAAAGCACCATCCAAAAGGCTTTTGTTTCCTGTGGTGGGATATGAAGTTCATCAATAAAAATTCACCCATGCCAGGTTGGGATGCAAAGCTTGGAGTTAAAAGTGTAAATATTTATTCATGGGCATGAGATGTCCTAGCCAAAGGGGGGCACCCAGGTATGGTTTTTATGATGTTCTTACATGCATCAAGCATTCAGGTAAAACAGAACTTGACTGGGCACTGACACCCACACTAACAGATCTCCAGTCACAGTAAAACTTGGCAAAGCCGCTCTGTTTCTGCTTGGCGATCGATCCAGGAGTCCTCGAGTCCCTCTGGCTGCGGTGACTGACCTGTGACACCAGACGGGGCTGGGAGGGTCTCAGAGCCTGGGGTGCTGTGGTACCTTGCTCATCCCAGGGATAAAGCTGTTCTTTATCCCTCGGGGACTGCTCTAAAAGCAAAGTGCTTCTCTCCAGGGCCGGGCTGTTTGTTTTACTTCAGCACGAACAATAGCGGAGTCTGCAATAATCCAATACTGCAAAACTCCACTGTTTCTTCACATCACAGTGTTTAATTTATATATATATGTAAAGTTTCTATATTTTCGTAATATAAAGGATGATTGGTAGTTAGGGAAGGGATTTTTCATCACATTTGCCTAGCCTGCAATGCACCTGGTCCTCCATCCGTACCGCTGGGCTGCCACTCCTTTTGGCACCATCCATCCCCTGAGCAGCCCCTGCTTGTCACATCTGCTGTCAGACTGAAATAGTTCATGCCTCAAACACTGATATAAAGTTTTGCTCATTATAACAAAAATTGTATAAAGAAGCTACAACCAAAGTAGCCTCCCTGAAGATACCTGGCTGGGACTTTGGACTGAAAATCAAACTGCCGAGATTAGATAAAGGGAAAACCCATTCTTCAATCACCTGAAACCAGTAAGTAAACAAGGAAAAGAATGTGAGGCAACCCCAGCAGCTGTGCTAAGAATTATCTCTGGCTTGCTTGGGGGTGGGGGAGGCCAAACAGACCCATTTGCTGGGAGCAGGTTTGCATAGATTTCCCCCCAGCCGAGGTGGGGAGAGGAAGTTTGGTGTTGTAACCTCTGCTCAGGGGCAGTGAACACATCCTCCCTTACCCAAACTGGCTATGGAACCCCCAGCCCTGGGAATGCCACATCCACAGGACATTCACATGAGAGACAGCTGAGGGTGTGCCTTAACCCATCAAAGTCCCCCCAAAGTGCCCTCCGGAGTCATTCCCAAAGCCTTGCACCACAGGACTGCACAGGATGCTACAAACCCAGAGTCTGTTGTAAGAGACAATGGCAAAATGCCCCCACACCCAGTGAGGTGCTTGGATTTTCCTACCTGTCCTGAGCAAATATTAACCCATCAGATTCTGTGCTTTCTGTGGGGACCTTCACCACCAAGAAGATCAGCTGGAGAGAATCAGCAGAACATCACTGGGATCCACGAAGCGCTGATATTTTCCTTATTCCGTCCCTGTCATTCTCTTTCTGTCCCCCCCACTTATTTCCTATTTCTCTCTCTCTCCCCCACATTTCCTACCAAATAAAAACCCACACTATTGTCACTGGCACACCGTGTTTGCCCCTTAATTCGGGCAGAGGCATTTCTAGCAACCTTAGCAGTGGGATCCTGGCAGGTGCCTGGAGGGGTTCGGGTGCCTGGTCCCTGCTGGGGCTGCGGGGATGTGCCAGGGTGACTCAGCCACTCCAGCAAAGTCGGGACTCGCCCGGGCGCTGCAGCTTCTCGGCAGGGATCGCTTCTGCAGCCTGATTTGCTGGGAAGCTGCCAGCCGACTGCCACCTCCTCCTCCCTGCACGCAGCTCTCCAGTGTGTCTCCAGTGATAAAATGACCCGCAGGACTAGAGGGACACGGGGTTGAATCCCCGTGGCAGGAGCGGAGCGGAGGAGCCGGTGATGCTGCCGGAGGATGCGGCACGGAAGGTACGGGCAGCCTCGCTGGGGTCGTGCCGGCGGTGGGCAGCAGGGTGGGCAGGTTCACGGGCAGGATTCAGCCTTGCTCTCCGTCCTGGTAGGTGCTGTGACCACCCCGTGGGACCGAGGGACCTCCTGACCCCCTCAGACTGGGAGGTGGGCAGCGGGAGAGGCTCTGTCCTTGTCCCCTTAAGGACAGGGGTTCCAGGTGTTGGGGGGACCTGGGGTGGGAGCCTCTCCTGCAATGTGGCCGTGGCCCAAGCCCCCACGAGCCTGTCTGCCTTGTGAGGCCACGAACAGGAATTAAGGGCGCATTTGACCTTCTTTCGACTGCTCTTTCTCCAAAAATCAGATCTTCTGGGCATTGTGCTGATGCAGAAATCCAGTCTGCCAAAATCTGCCTCCCAAGGTCAGTGGGGCTGTGTAGATCCCAGGAGGGAGGCCGATAAAATAGCTTTTCCTTGCTACTCCATGATTTAGCATCAGCACTCCTTGTTCCCACAAGGACTCCCCACCCTTGGGTGAAATGCAGGATTTGGCTTGAAGAGAGCAGACAAAATCCTCCTTAAACACAGACCCCACAGCTTGGCCAGAGCATCACCTGAGTCCAGTGCTCCCTCCATTACCTAATCCCAGCGTTCCTGAGAGCACACCATCCCCCTTGGGCTCCAGAGACCTCAGGAACATTTCCACCTTTGCTCCATCAGCTCTCCCATCTCAGCAAAGGGGGCTGTGAGTGTTCAGGGTGGTTGAGGAGTTTTGCAGCCCCTGCTTGCAGAAGCCCCATGTGCATCTTGAGGCTCTCAGGGCACCTTTGCAGGGGACACAGGGCTCCTCCACAGAGTCTCTGCAGCCAGCATGTCCATATTTCCAGATTTTCCATGCGGGGCTATGCTCAGGCTGCTCACACAAGAGACCTAGTTTCTGCTCTCCCTGCTGCCAGAAATATCTCAGCTGCCTGCAGTGGAGAGCAGGTGAGGAGAGCTACAGGCTGGCAGGCTGAAAGCAGCAGGGCGCTTTGTGGACATGGAAGGGCTTCCCCAGGGAAGCGTGGTGCATGCTGAGGCTGGTCACCACACACACGGCCCCTGTGTCAGGGCTGTGGTGAGGGGATGGCAGGTTCCCCATGGACCAGTCTCCACCCAGGCAATGATGGATGAGGCACCTCAGTGCTCTTAGTTCATGAGCATCCCTTTTATTTTGAAGGCCAGGTTGGATGGGGCTCGGAGAAACCTGGCCTAGGGGAAGGTGTGCCTGCCCTTGGCAGAGGGGTGGAAGGAGATGAACTTTAAGGCCCTTCCTAATCCAAACCATTCTGGGATTCTCTGGTTCTCTTCCACTGCCCTCAGGATGGGGATGTTCAGGAGCTCCCAGCCTAGGGAGGAGAAAGGAGGCTGAGAAGCACAAGACAAAGGGGCCATGTCTGTGCGTGGCCGGTGCGCCAAGGTGCTCCCCTCTGAACTGAACAAGGTGTGCCCTGAGAGAGGAGATGAGCCTGCCACACACCCCAGGAAGATGAGCGACTTCGAGGTGGTCCCCAACCTGCAGCAGAGCAGTAGCAGCGTCTCAAGGAGCAGGCGGAAGGCACATTTCCCCACTGGCAGCAATGAAAAGGCAAGTTCAGGGGGTGCTGGAAGAGGGGATGGTTGGGCACACACATGGAACAGTGTTAATGAGTGTCTCAATAACAGGAGCATTAATAACTGATCAGGTTAGTTTTAGGGACAGACAGAAAGCCTCCAAGTATCTGAGGCAAATGGCCAACACCCGTATCCCTTCTCGTCAGAGTACATCTGGCTTTGTCCTTGCAGAGAGCGATGGAGCTTTCATCCTTCACACCCAAAGAAGCACCCAGATGTGCTCCCATCACCATGGTGTCTGGCTCCTGGCATAATTTCTGGCCCTTTCCAGAAACCCTGACCCCTTGCTGCTTTTCTCGCTCCATCAGGAAAACCTCATCTCCTGGATTCCTGAAAACATCCGAAAGAAGGAATGCACCTATTTTGTGGAAAGCTCCCAGACATCAGATTCTGGGTAAGTGAGACACTCCCTTCTTCCCTCCCCTTTAGGAGAGCAGAAGTGAGGGTTGGTGGTAAAGCTCCAGCACCAGAAAATCCCATCTTTCTGTCACAGGGATTCAAAACTTTCTTTTTAACTGGTTCTTCGGCGTGTGGTGAGTCATCACACGGCTGAGATTCTGTGTCCCAGTGAAAAACATTTCCAATGCTTTTGCAGGCAGTCACTTCCATCCTAAATATTTTTGTCCTAAATCTCTACTGGTGGAAATATTTGGACTTTTCCCCCTGATTTCCCCCTAATCATTGCCCTTGTTTCTGCACAGGTTCTGAGCTGTAGGAGCAGCTGGGTGGGAGATGTGGGGCCCACATGGTTCCTAAGGAGAACAGCACCTCCTGCCCAGGCTGGGGTTGGGCTTTGCCTTTCGGCTTTCAGCTGCTCTCAGCGAAGCTGTTGGTGTGCTTTTCAGGAGGATTGTTTGTGAGTGTGGCTATCTCAGGGAACAGCACCTGGACGATGCTGCCAAACCCCCCATCTTCCTGGGGAAGGAATGGGATCCCAGCAGGCACATCCAGGAAATGCCAACGGATGCCTTCGGTGATATCCGCTTCACAGGGCTGGGACAGAAGACAGGGAAGGTGATCTGTTTGCCCCATCTGTGGCTGCATGGGGAGACAGAGTTTGCCATGGCAGATGGTACAGGAGCATTTCCCTCCTGAATGAGAGTACATTGGGAAAAGGTGGAATTGCCCCAAAGGCAACAGTGACTCAAGCAGTGGAGGGGTTGAAACAGGCCCCTTAAACCCTTTCTGAAACCACAAAACTCATGATTCAAGGAGTGGCTGTTCCCTGTCCTTGCTCTTAGATTTGTCTGGGGAATGTTTGCTCCCAGGAAAGCAAATGGGAACAGGGTCATGGACAAAGACCCGGGCCAGCAGCAACACAGCTCTGCTGCAGAACGATGTTGGGAAGCCTCTTGGGTGGGACAGGAGGAATTGTGTTGGAGGTGTCCTGTTACCCCGACCCCACTGTTTATACCCAAAATGTGTGCATGGTCCCCTTTTCTGCAGTATGTGCGTGTCTCCTCGGACACCCCTCCACGGGTCATCTACCACCTCATGACACAGCACTGGGGCCTGGACGCTCCCAACCTGCTCATCTCAGTCACTGGGGGAGCCAAAAACTTCATCATGAAGCCAAGGCTGAGGAACATCTTCCGGCAAGGGCTGGTCAAGGTGGCCCAGACCACAGGTAAGAGGCCACAGAATAATAAAATCACAGAATCATAGAATAATTTGGGTTGAAGGGGACTTTTAAAGGTCCTCTGGATGCAGAGGGTCCCCCTGACCATGCCAGGTTTAGTAAGCTGGGCTGTTCTGGGGATGCTGAGCTGTTTTAGGAGACCTGTAGGTCCCTACCTGGACCATGATCACCAGGGATGGGCTGCTCCAGCTCAGTCACTGCAAAGTGAAACACTCAAAATGAGCTGGACTCAGAGAGGTACTGAAGAAGACATTGCCTGTACAGCCAGGACAGGGAAGAGACATCTTCTGGGGGGATGGAGCACCCCAGGGACCCACAGCCATGTGGGGGAGGCTGGGAGATCACTGTGGGCAGAGCCTCTCCCTTCCCACGCCCCTCTGTGACCCCCAGGAGCCTGGATCATCACAGGGGGGTCCCACGCTGGTGTGATGAAACAGGTGGGAGAGGCAGTGCGAGACTTCATCCTGAGCTGCAGCCACAAGGAGGGCGAGATTGTCACCATTGGCATTGCCACCTGGGGGACCGTGTACAACCGCGAGAGCCTCGTCTGCCCCATGGTGAGCCAGGCACGGCCAGACAGGGGATTGCTTTGCCTGTGCCTGGGCTGCTGGGGAAGTCCTGCCAAGGACTGGGGTGGGAACAGGTGCTTCTAGATGTCACTGTGGCTGGCAGCCCTGGAAAACCCAACTGTACCAGGAGTGATGGTCTTTGAACTTTAGAATGGTTTGAGTTAGAAGGAATCTTAAAGCTCACCTTGTTCCACCCTCTGCCGTGGGCAAGGAGCCTTTCATTAGACCAGGCTGCTCCATGAACTGTCCAACCTGGCCTTGAACTCTTCCAGGGATGGTCCCAAGCTGGTATTTGCTGAGAAGTCCCTCCGCCCTAGCCAGTGTCTTGAGTAGGTTTTGTGCTTCTCCTGGGAGGACTCTTGTAGGTGTGAAGGCCAGTGGAGCATGGGGAAGGCTGACATGAGCACTGTGGGGGCACAGAGACAGTTTGGCCAGACCATCCCCACATGCTGACCCATTCCTGTCCCCACATGCTGACCCATTCCTGTCCCCACATGCTGGTTACTCTGGCTGTCTGCTGCTCCTCTGCCAGGCTTCTCCCAGAGTGTCTCCTCCTTACAGGGGGGCTTTCCTGCTGAATATGTGCTGGATGAGGAGAACCAAGGCAGCCTGTCATGCCTGGACAGCAACCACTCCCACTTCATCCTGGTGGATGATGGGACCCACGGGAGGTATGGGGTGGAAATCCCCCTGAGGACCAGGCTGGAGAAGTTCATTTCAGAGCAGACCAAGGTGAAAGGAGGTAACAGCAACACACAGGGATGGGCCATCCCCCTGGAATGGTGTCCTTCCTGGGCTCCAGCAAGAGGCTGTGGCTTCCCCAGAGGATCCAGGCACAGGGTCCTCTGCACAGGCAGAGGACTGCCATGATAAGTGTGGAGCCTTGTTCCTCTGTGGCACGGATCAAAGAATCTTTCTCTGCCAGACTTACGTGATCATGAAAAGAGTCCCCAAACCTTGTGATGCTGAGCTGGCCAGGGAAAGTCATTTCTCCCAAAGGGCCAGATCCCAAGGGAGCTTCCAGGTGTCATCTTCTCACTGTGCAAACGGTCTCCCATCATAACACATGTGTGCTCACAGAATCCCAGGATTCCCTGAGCTGGAAGAGACCCATGAGCATCCTCAAGTCCAACTCCTGCCCCTGTGCAGAAAAACCCCAAAAATCCCACCACATGTCTGACCTGCCACACCAGATAATCACTGGGCATGGTTTCCCTCCCCTCTCCTGAGGCCTGACGTGTCAGGGACATTGCTCCCACCTTGCCTTTCGTGCTCCACCACTCAGAGGAGACCTATGGGGGGGATCAGCCCCTATGAGGAGGTGACCCTGGATTTTGCTTCCCTGCAGGTGTTGCCATCAAGATCCCTATCGTGTGTGTGGTGCTGGAAGGAGGCCCTGGGACTCTTGATGTAAGGAGCTGCTTGTGGCGAGCTGAGAAGTGGGGGCGAAGGAGGGACAGCTCCTTCCCGGGGTGCTGCTCTCAGTGGTGCCACTCTGACAGGAGTGCTGGGAGCAGCAGTGGGGTCTCAGGCTCAGAGAGGGTCTGCAGGTGTCTGGGTGGGATCCAGAACAACCTCCCCACTCCGTTGCAGACCATCTACAATGCCATCACCAACGGGATCCCCTGTGTGATTGTGGAAGGGTCTGGGCGCGTGGCCGATGTCATCGCGCAGGTGGCCAACCTGCCCGTGGCCAGGATAAACATTGCCTTGATCCAGAAGAAACTGAGCATCCTCTTCCACGACACCTACGAGCTCTTCACTGAGAGAAAACTGGTGGAGTGGACCAAGAAGGTGAGTCCCTTGCAGGCTTCTCTGAGTTTTGGGAGACCAAAGAGGTCCCAGGGGTCCTGGACTATGAGCAGCAAGGGTCCCAGTGGGAAGTTTAAACCTCTTCTGCCCCCAGCCATCCTCATCATTGTCCTGGTGGACACCCCAGGGGCTCAAACCCTGCTCCTCCACTGCCTGCTCCCTTTGGGCAGAGAGGGAGTGTTTGTGACCAGCCCATGACGGAGGACACAGCCCAGGGGTTCTGCAGGGGATGGAGGGGAGTGAGGAATTGCCCTGCACGGTGCAGGGGCCTGTGGGAAGCAGCAGGGAGGAGACGCTGCTGCTCATTGCTTGCCCACGGCTCTCCTCGTAGATCCAAGACATAGTGCGGAGCAGGCAACTCCTGACCATCTTCAGAGAGGGTAAATATGGCCAGCAGGACGTGGATGTGGCCATCCTCCAGGCCCTCTTCAAAGGTGAGGGATGGGGCCCTCTCTGGGAGGAAGGGGCAAGGTGAACAGTCACCTCCTACTGATACTTGACTTATGGGGTCACCAAAGAAGTCCCCAAACCTTGTTACTGGGCAGAGATGATTTTAGAAAAGAGCCACACATCCAAGGAGGCTTCCCTGTGGTGTCTTCTCACTGGATGATCCTGTGTTCTAACACATGCAATTTGCAGCATCCCGAAACCAGGACCACTTTGGTCATGAGAACTGGGACCACCAGCTGAAGTTGGCTGTGGCCTGGAACAGGGTGGACATTGCCCGAAGCGAGATCTTCACAGATGACCACGACTGGAAGGTATGGCCATACCTGCGCTGCTTGTCTGGTCAGGCTTTACAGCTTGTCAGGCCTCTGGATAAGGAGGGTGCTTCTCACCTTGGCTGTGCCTGGGGAGAGTTTTAAAGGGATTTCTCTTGGACACTGAACTCCCAGAGCATTAACTGGGGCTGTTCTTCAAAAGTGCTTTCAAAAACCCAAAGCAGAGCTAAGCACACATGAAGATAATTGGTATTTTGTTCAAAACCAGTGTTTTTAAAGACCCGCCTGGAACCTAAAATACCTCTTGACAGCTCTGCCCTGTGGTCACTGCTCAAATAGCAATTTGTCTCTAAACTCACCTCACCCAGCCTGGTGCTCATACCTTATTACAGAGTAAGGCAGGGACCAGCTCTGCCATCCCATGTCTAATCCTGCTGTTGAGAAGTTGAGGCTGAGCAGGGTTGTCTGTCCTTTTTGACTGGGCTGTGGAACTTGGAAGGAATTTTTCTATTTCATTCAACAGTTTGTGCTCCCCCAGTTCACACACCTTTGATAAGACTGGGAAGGGCTGGTGAGAGCTAGGAACCCAGAAGTGAAACATTTGTGGATCTATGTCCTATCCCTGGAAATGCTGAAGGTCAAGCTGGCAACCTGGACACCTGCAAGGTGTCCCTGACCCTGGCAGGGGATTGGAACGAGATGAGCTTCCAACCCAAACTGTCCTGTGATTTTGTGATATTCATGAACTTGGGATAGGTGGTCTCTACCCTACCCATCCCTCTGCCCAGCAGCCAAGGGGGCAGAGGTCTCCACTGCCAGAGAAGAGTGCCCTCTTCTAACCCCTGGGAATGTCCCATAAGTTTTAGTGCATGTCACATGCTCTTTCACATCCAGAGACTCCTCATGTGCTCAGGGACAAAATCTCTCCCCAAGTGAGGAGCACGGTAGGGTCCTGTTCTGGGACCACGGAGCCCCTCACCTCTGCCTCTGGCCTGCCAGCCTGCAGATCTCCACCCTGTGATGGCAGCTGCCCTGATTTCCAACAAGCCAGAGTTTGTGAAGCTGTTCCTGGAGCAGGGAGTGTGTCTCAAGGATTTTGTCACCTGGGACACCCTGGTTTACCTCTACGACAACCTGGCACCATCCTGCCTGTTCCACAGCAAGCTGCAGAAGGTGCTGCTGGAGGAGAGAGAGCACACAGCCGGCTCCAAAATGCCGAGGCTCCAGATGCACCACGTCTCCCAGGTGCTGCGGGAGCTGCTGGGCTGCTCCACACAGCTGCTCTACCCCAAGCCCAAGCACACGGAGCGGCCCCGGCTCTCCATCCCCGTCCCACACATCAAGCTGAACGTACGCATCCCCAGGTTACCTGGTGGCAGGGGGGCAGCAGGAAGGGGACACTGGCTCAGGGGATCCAGCTGGGTCTCTGTCCTCTTGTGTGCTCAAAAATCATACTAAAACTTCCTTAAAGCCCTGCCCAAGCCATCTGCCCTTCATTCCAGGCGCAGCTCCCACTTTCCTACACCTGTAGCACTGCATGGATGTGTGATGCTGGTAGGCAGGACCCGGTGGGGTGGGTGCACGGCTCCACCTGATCCCAGCCCTAGAAAAAGGTGAAATTTGCAGGATGAGTGAGTCCAGCCTTGGCCACCCCTCTATCTGGGCAAAGTCCTTTCCACGGGTGGTGGAGGCAGCACCAGGGGTTTGAGTGGATTTGTGCTGGGCAAGCAGGTCTGAGCATTGCACACCTTGCAGGTGCAGGGGTCAAGCCTTCGGTCCCTCTACAAGCGCTCTGCTGGCCGAGTCACCTTCACCATGGACCCCATTCGGGATCTGCTCATCTGGGCTGTGGTCCAGAACCGCAAGGAGCTGGCAGAAATCATCTGGGCCCAGGTATCACAGCCCAGAGCTCTGGTCACACCTGAGGGGCTCATATGGAGCCAAACCTTGCAGCCCCAAGGGGAACAGTGGAATCTGCTGGGATTTGGGATAGTGGGAGAACTATCCTGAGCCTGACCCTAGCCAAACAGGACACAGATAGCCAGCCTGAGGGCACTTAATGTCCATCCCCAGCCCCACCATGAAGCCAGATCCCTCCCCTTCCTGGCCAAAACAGGTAGAGGGGGTGTTCTGGGCCAGAAGTGGGCTACTCAGGCTGAGAGAGCCCACAGGGACACAGCAGCTGGGGTGGAGAAGGCTTCTGCTCATAGAGAGCATTCCAGGACAAGAGGCAGCGTGGCTGGTGGCACAGTGGACATGCCAAGGAGTCGCTCTGCCCCATCAGCCAAGGCATCCCACAAAGAGGGCAGGGTTGCTCCTATATTCCCCATGGCAGTGGGTTATCCAGAGGCGAGCTTGGCTCAGCCCTTGTCATGGCAAGCTGTCCATCCTGAGCACCGATCTGTTTGGGACACCTTCCTTCCTTCCCGTGGGAGCTGGGGAGGGCTTGTCAAGGCTTCTGGGACTTGACAGACAGAGTGTCCCTGCTTTCCTCATCCTCCTCTGTGCCAGAGCCAAGACTGCATGGCAGCTGCACTGGCCTGTAGCAAAATTCTGAAGGAGCTGGCCAAGGAGGAGGAGGACACAGACACCACCGATGACATGCTGGCCCTGGCTGAGGAGTACGAGCACAAGGCAATTGGTGAGCAGAAGGGCACCGGCATCACAGAGCTGCTCCTGCACCTCAGAGCTGCTCTTGCACCCTTAGGGCTGGTGAGCTTTACCCAGGAGATGTCTGGGGGGTGAGAAATGAGGGTCCCATCCTCACAGTTGGGGATTATGCTCCAAAGGCAGTGCCTGCGTGGTGGTGGCAGTACAGGGAATACCAGTGTGTGGTGCAATATCCTGATCCTGCTCAGAAGGGTGGTTCTGGGCTCAGAGCTCAGCCTCCTGGTACTGGCCCTTCCAGGTGTGTTCACAGACTGCTACCGCAAGGATGAAGAGAGAGCCCAGAAGCTTCTCACCCGTGTCTCTGAAGCCTGGGGGAAGACAACTTGTCTGCAGCTGGCGTTGGAGGCCAAGAACATGAATTTTGTGTCCCATGGGGGTGTCCAGGTGGGCTCCCAGCAGTGATCCTTAGAGGGAATGTGCCCAAGCGGCCCCAGGATCCAGAGTTCCTCGTGGGTAGCCGTGGGACTCTGCCCTTCAGCCTCTGCAACCATCACTCCTCTTTCTCCCTCTTCACAGGCTTTTCTAACCAAGGTCTGGTGGGGGAAGCTGTCTGTGGACAACAGCCTTTGGCGGGTGATTACGTGCATGCTGTTCTTCCCCCTGCTCTACACCAACCTCATCACCTTCAGGTACTTGTGGCAGCTGGGACACCCACGCACTGCGGCAGGGGTTTACTCCAGCCTCACCCTGTGCCTGGCTGGGGGAAGCTGCCGTGGCATCTCCCTGGGCAGCCAAGCCCACATCCATCCCTGATCCCAGCAGGGAGAAGAGGCTGCAGCCCATGGGCTGCCTGGCACACCTCCGAGCCTTCTTCACAGCACCCATCGTCATCTTCCTCATGAACATCCTCTCTTACTTCACCTTCCTCCTGCTCTTCGCATACGTCCTGATGGTTGACTTCCAGCCGATGCCGTCCTGGCGGGAATACCTCATTTACTTCTGGCTCTTCTCCCTGGTGTGCGAGGAGACCCGCCAGGTGTGGGCAGGCAGAGCTGAGGCTGGGAGGTGGCAGAGCATGCTCTGGGTGCTCCTGGGAGGTCCCACACAGCTCAGGTTCCCATGCTGCTTCTCACGACACCACCTATTCTGAGAGGTCCCAGCACGTGGAACCACCAGATCCCCACCTCTGAGGCTGGGGATTCTCCTTGGCTGCATCTGGCATGGCCCTGTATATTTGCAGAAGAAAATGCTGTAGGGCTGGTGGGCTTTTCCCAGGAGGTGTCTGGTGTCTGTTTTGAGAATGTCAAGAGATGGAGGGAGCTCTTCCTTTGGGTGAATTCCCTGATTTTGCTTGACACTTGATATTTTTCTACTTTTGCTTCAACATCTCAGTGCTTTTCTCCTCTGGCCTGAAGAGCCCCAATGCCCCAGGTGTCCCCACATTCCTTGCCAGATGCCCCCATGCTCCTCCCATGCCCCTAGAGAAAACCACATGGGCTCAGGTTACCTTTGGGTCAGCAAGAGTGTCCAGTGATGGCCAGATGATCTGCGTGGTCTCCCCTCTGTGAAGCACATGAGTATCTGACAGCCAGCCCCTTTTCTCTTCCCAACAGCTGTTGTATGATCCAGATGGACTCGGGGTTGTGAAAATGGCTTCTCTGTACATCAAGGACTTCTGGAATAAGCTGGATATTTGTGCCATCCTAGTCTTTATTGCGGGGCTGACTTGCAGGTGAGCTGCAGAGTTCAATAGTGTTTTCATAGAATCATGGAATTCTATGAAAGAATTTTTCCAACTCAAACCAAAACTGGTTAGGATTGGAAAGGACCTTAAAGCTCATCCTGTTCCACCCCTTGCCATGGGCAGGGACACCTTCCACTATCCCAGGCTGCTCCCAAGCCCTGTCCAGCCTGGCCCTGGACACTTCCAGGGATGGGGCAGCCACAGCTTCTGTGGGCACCCTGTGCCAGGGCCTCACCTCCCTCTCAGTAATTCCAACCTAAATGATTCTATATGTTTCCATGGTGATATTGAGGTGTTTCCTTTCCTCTCTTCCATGCCCAGGCTGATCCCATCAACATTATATCCTGGGCGCATCATACTGTCCCTGGCTTTTATCATTTTCTGCCTGCGCCTGATGCACATTTTCACCGTCAGTAAAACCCTGGGGCCCAAGATCATCATTGTGAAGCGCATGGTGAGAGCTCCCCTCTGTCCTGCTGGGATGATGCTGGGCCATCCTGCTAGAGCAGCTGGATGTGCCACCCCTGTTATCCCATCCTGGTGTGGGGCTTGCTCCAGGACACAGCTGTCCTCCCGCTCTGTCTTTGCAGATGAAGGATGTCTTCTTCTTCCTCTTCCTGCTGGCAGTGTGGGTGGTGTCCTTTGGGGTGGCCAAGCAGGCTATCCTGATCCACAACGAGGAACGTGTGGAGTGGCTTTTCCGTGGCGTGGTCTACCATTCCTACCTGACCATCTTTGGGCAGATTCCCTCCTACATTGATGGTAAGGGACACTGCCTGTGACAGCGCATGGCACGGGCAGGGTGGCCGTGACAAAGCTGATGTACCAAACTCAGGCCGTGTCGGCCCACGGAAGTCCCACAGAGCTGGCAGAGAACAGAGCACCTGGGATGACACAGATGGAGGTCAAATCCCTGCCTGGTGCTAAGCTCCCTGGATGCTGGCTGCTTTCTGAGAGCAGAACGTGCTCCCAGGACACCCGAGGTTTGGGCACCACGGAGTCACGCTGTGCTCGCCCACAGGGGTCAACTTCAACATTGACCAGTGCAGCCCCAACGGGACTGACCCCTACAAGCCCAAGTGCCCAGAGACAAATGCGGACAACAAGGAACCCATCTTTCCAGAATGGCTGACGGTCATCTTGCTGTGCCTGTACCTGCTCTTCACCAACATCCTCCTCCTCAACCTCCTCATTGCCATGTTCAAGTGAGTCTGGGGGGCTCTAGATGTGGTGGAAGTAGTGGGATCCACTAGGGCATTATAGATGTGGCAGAAGTAGTTGCAGGTCAGGGCTGATGAGGGAGCTGGGTGGAGCTGGGGACACCATTCAGACACAATGTGCCCCCTCATCCCCACGGCATGGCTGACACCTGGGCTGTGCCCCAGCTACACCTTCCAGCAGGTCCAGGAGCACACAGACAAGATCTGGAAGTTCCAGCGGCACGACCTGATCCAGGAGTACCACGGCCGCCCACCCGCACCGCCACCCCTCATCCTGCTCAACCACCTGCAGCTCCTGGTCCAGCGTGGCTTGCTCCACCGGCCAGCCACGCACCACAAGCTCAGTGAGGACCAGAGTCCCCCTCCTGCCCTTTTCCCCCTCCTCAGGCATGTGCCGAGGCACAAGGCTGTGGCGCTGGGCTTTGGGATGCCCAGAGACGTGACAGCACTGCCATCCCCTTTCTTCGGCAGAGGAGAAGCTGGAGAAGAACGAAGAAGCTGCCCTTCTCTCATGGGAGATGTACCTGAAGGAGAACTACCTGCAGCACCAGCAGTGCCAGGAGAAGCAGAACTCGGAGCAGATGATCCGGGACATTGCACAGAGGTACAGCTGCTCCTGAGAAAGGAAGTTCCTTCTGTCCTTTGGAGTCCTGGTCACGGAAGAGTTGGGATCAGTGCAGGGGTGGCTGCTGAGGGTGTTCCAACCTGCATTTTCTCCAGGGTTGATGTACTGGCAGAGCTGCTGGACTTGGATCAGGTGAAGAGGACGGGATTAGTGGAGCAAAGACTGGGCTCTCTGGAAGACCAGGTGAGGCAAAACCAGGGCAAGTACCCAAGAAAGGTGAAATTTTTCCAGGACCTGAGTCAATTGAACCAGAACACAAAATGTCTCTAAATGAGTATCCTTTGAGACATTTTGAGTTTCATTGCCATTAGCATTTGAGGGGAAAAGGTTTATAGGAAAAGTTCTGTTTGACTCCAAAGTAAACAGGATGCAGGTGAGAATTGGTGGGATGGGCCACTGCCTCCACTATCACCCAAAGAGTTAGAGCTGACCTAGCTCCTCTCCATGGCCTGAGAGGGCCCTCCAGACCTCCTGGAGATAGGGACGGTCTGTCCCCTCCCTCTGGAGCTGCACGAGCAGTGGGGTGCCCAGGGAGCCAGCCCAGCCTTGGCATATCCTGTTTCCATCTCCCTTTCCACCTACTTTGTAAAAATATTTCCCCGGAGAAGGTTTTCCAAGGACACAGCCAGGATCACTGCTGCCTGCAGGGCACGGCAGTCAGCAGCAAGGGCAGCGGTGCCTCCTCCCAGGGCTGGATCCCGTGGTACCTGGGGGGCAGCAGGGCTGGGGGTGACCCTCTCCTGTGCCCTGCAGGTGCATCAGAGCGCCCAGGCCCTCAGGTGGATGATGCAGGCGCTGAGGGGCAATGGCTTCAGCTCAGGCGAGGATGTGCCAGCCATGGGTAAGCGGAGCCTGACTCCTCCCCAGCAGCAGTGGGGAAGTCCAGGGCCCCAGGCTGGGGCTGAGCAGCCCCTCACACCTCTCTGTCAAGCAGTGAGGCAGAGGTTCCTTTGGTCCTGGGAGGTTTGGTGTCTCTCTGAGGCCTGTGAGTCCATTCCCACCCTCCCTGGGGTTTAATCCAGGATCTGCCAGAAGGGAAGCCGGGGTCCACGACCCCAGGGGAGGTCAGCATCCCCATAGAGAGACCCAGCCAGCCCCCTCAGCAGAACCCCAGTCCACAGTGCTGGATTTGGTGCCCTGCTTTGTGGGACCCTGATGTCTGTGTCTGCCCCACAGGCTCCTCCAAAGCCTTGGAGGCCAAGGAGATTGACCTGAAGGGGAAGCCCGAGGAGAGCCGGCCCCCGTACCACGTGCTTGCCCGAAACCTCCTGTACCCAGGGTCTCACACTCTCCGCTTCCCTGTGCCAGATGAGAAGGTGCCCTGGGAGGTAGGAGCTGTGATGTTGGGCAGTGGGGCTGGGAGGAGGAGGAGACTTGAGGCATTTTCTGACAGTGGTGAGAAGAAGAACCCCTCATCCCATTTGAGAGCTGTTGTCCTTCCCAGCCCTGGGGTCATTGGCTTCCCTTGGAGTCACTGCTTGAGGCTCCCCCAAAGAAAAGAGCATCATTCCTGCCAGGATCTGCAGTGCTGGGAATGCCTGGGGATGCTTGGTTCGACACAGAGGGTACAACCACCCACCTCTGCATTTCCTGAAGCACAGCTGGCTCAGGCTCAGGGACAGGATCCAGCACTGGCTTCCATGGGGGTGTGAGCCCTCCAGCCCCCAGCAGAGCCTGGAGCATCACCTGGGGAGTGATGCCACAAGCTGGGCAGAGGAAGAGACTGGGCCATAAGGTGTCCCTGAGGTCCCAGTCCCTGTCTGCTGTCACAGCAGGGGCACAGGCTGGGGGGCTGACACAGCCGTATGTTGTGCAGGTGGATTTCCCGCTCTACGACCCCCCTGCATACTCGGCTGACCACAAGGACATGGCTGTGCAGGACCCCTTCAGCCTGTGAGTCTCCCCCCATGGCTCCCCAGTCCTCCACCCCTTCCCTGGGTGGCACAGCCAGCCCTCCCTGCCGGGCTGCCTCCCACCCTCCAGCTCCTTGGAGTCTCTCCTGAAGATCAACTACAACACCATGGATGGGCTGATTGACCGGCAGAGCTTCCACGGGCTCTACGCCGTGCAGGACGGGCTGCCACTGTGAGTGCCACTGCCACGGGCACACAGAGAAGCCAGGGGTGCCCAGGCACGTGTTATGGGGCACAGAGGGTGTCTGGAGCTGCCCCAGTGCCCTCACTCTCACCCTGGCAGGAACCCCATGGGCAGGACAGGGCTGAGAGGCCGTGGGAGGCTGCACTGCTTTGGGCCCAACCATGCCCTGCACCCTGTTGTGACCCGGTGAGTGTGTCCTGCTCCAGCACAGGGCTGAGGATGTGGGGTGGAAAAATGGGCATGAGGCCACCTCAGAGACCTGGCCAAACCCTGCACTGCCAATGTGACCACTGCTGGGCAGAGGGGAGCCAGGTCCAGCTGCAGCATGACAGGGACCTCTCTCACAGCTGGAGGAGGAATTTAGATGGGTCCATTATAAGGAAGAGCCTGAAGAAGACGCTGGAAGTCCTGGTGGCCCAATACCCCCTGTCAGATGTCTGGGCTCTGCCTGGGGTAAGAGCTGGTGCAGAAGGAGCTGAGGAGATGGGAAGGAGGGAAGGAGGGAAGGAGGGAAGGAGGGAAGGAGGGAAGGAGGGAAGGAGGGAAGGAAGGAAATCCCACAGAAAAGGGGGAATCACAGGCATGTTGCAGCTATGGCTGAGGAGGTACCTCTGCCCCTCCTGCAGAGCATCTGCATGCCAGGGCTGCTGGGGAAGCAGTGGTCTCCTTACATTCACCCATTCACCCTGACCTGCTGTCTCCTGCCTTTCCCTCCTCCCTCTCCACAGCTTCAATCCTCACATCCTTCGTGTGAGCCTGTTAAGCCATTGGCAAAGCATCCTTTGGCAGACATTGGATCAGTGTCTCAGAGTGCTTGGGCAGAGCTGAGGACTTTGGGCAGGACAGGGAGGATGGGAGGCACCAGCAGGCCTTGTGGTATCTTCTGCAGTGGTGGCAGGGAGGGAGGCTGCAGTGTGCTGATGGCAGCCCCTGTAGCTGACATCTGCTTTGGCACAGGGGTCACTGGAGCCAGGCGAGACGCTGCCACTGAAGCTCAAGTGGATCCTGCGCCGGGAGTTCTGGCCCCAGTTCCAGAACCTGCTGAAACAAGGCACTGAGGTGAGGGACACGTGGGTGTCCCTGTGGTATGGGGGCACAGGAAGGTTCGGTGGCACAGGGGAGTGTGGGCATCACCCTGGCACGGGGACACACGGGTGTCATGGTGGGACAGGCACATGGGGACGTCACCATGACACGGGGACATGTGGACATGACGGTGTCACAGCGTCACGTGGGGGGCCCAGGGTGCAGGAGCAGGGTGCACCACCTCTCTGCCACGGCTCCCTCTGAGAGGAAGGGCTGGGAGAGGTGAAGATGTGCCATAATTCACGTGTGGGGGTCAGGGAGCAGCCCAGAGACCCCAGGGGAGGGCTGCCCACACCAATGTCTGTGCCTGCAGCAGTGACTCCTCATGGCTCCAGCTGCAGTGGAGCAGGGCTCTGGTCTCCAGCAGGGCAGAGGACCTGCAGGGCAATGTCCCACCCACCCCCAGGGTGCCCTCAGAGAGGTGATGAGGGCTGTCCATGGGCATCTCCATGCACAGGTACACAGGGGGTACCTTGACGACCCACGCAACACAGACAACGCCTGGGTGGAGACGGTGGCCATCAGCGTGCACTTTGACAGCCAGAACAACGTGGAGATGAAGCGGCTGAACTCGGTAAGGGGCTGTCACCCCTGTGGGCTCCCTGGCCTGCCTCACAGCTGGCCTGGGGCAGAGGAGCCAGCTTTCCAGACCCACATCTCTATAGGCTGCTTGCAGTGGGGGAAGGACACGGGGATGAACGTGGAGTGGCACCTCAGTGTGTGCCCCAAAAAGAAAGGGCAGGAGGCTGGGCACTAGAGGTGCTGTTGAGTGTGGCTGCCATGGCCCCTTGCTGGCAGCACATGTGTGACATCTGTCCCCTTTCTGCCCCTTGCAGTTCCTCCAGGGCTGTGACCCGGAGCTGTGCATCCGCTGGCAGGTGCTGGACAAGAGGATCCCCCTGCACACCAACCACAAGGAGCTCCTGCACAAGGTCTCAGCCCTTCTTGGTGCCTACTACTGAGGCCTGGTGCACAGGCTAGGGCTCCTGCTGCCCCAGACCAGGTTCTGGCTGGGACCTGCAGCTCCACCCCAGCTTACCTGTGAGAAGATGGGAGCTGCTGGAGTTGAGGTACTCTGGGTGCCTCTGGTAATGTATATTGCAGGTGTCTGGGAGGAAAAGTGTCCCCTCCCTGGGGGCATGGGCTGCCTGGGCAGTGCATCCCAGTCACCCGAGCCACCAAGTTCAGCCCCAGCTTGTGTCTTGGTGCCTCCACATCAGCCCACAGCACTAGGCCAGAGCTTGGGCCACACAGAGCCATAAGGCTTTTCTTTTGAGATGGTCCTTCTGTCCACTCCATCCTTCTCTTGGCTTTGGGGTGGGCACTGAGGGCCCACCAGTCCCAGCTACCCCTCCACCAGAATATCCATCACTGCTCCCTGCTCCTGCTCTGAGCCCTGGCAGCCCCACTGCCACAGATCCCAAAGGATTGCTCTGGAGAAGGCTTGGAGCTGCTCCTGTGGGGGCTGTACCTGTTTCTCTGGCTGCCTCAGACCAAAAACATCGTCCTCAGCTGCGGTCCAGCACTTCTGAAGGTGTGAGCAGTTCTTGGCTTCTATACCTATGGTTTCCCAGCTCTGCACAGGCCCACCTGCCATGCCCCAAACTGATACGTGATTCTGCGTGTGTATGCTGAGCGCTGGCTTGTAGCTAAACCTCCTCTCTCTGAAGCCAAGGCCCCAGCTAAATGTCACCTGCCTGTCCCCACCCCCTTGTGCACATGGATGGAAAGTGGCAGCTTGCTGGGACACAGGTGATCCATGCTCTGTGGTTCCTTGGGCAGGTGGGGACAGGTGAGGGGACATCAGTGTGTCAATCCCTGCTTTTTAGGGGTCTTTCACTCACATTTTCTGTTGCCTGCCATGGGGAGAACAAGGCACAGTGGATACATTTTTTGATCATCCAGAAGAGCCCCGCGGTGCCGTGTTATGCCTGGGACTGCTCAGGAAGGGATTTAGGTTCCCTCACCTTCTCTCAGTGGATCAGACACTGGCCAACCAAGGCTGCTCATCCCACACTGGTGGCCACCACAGCACAACTGCAGTTTCACCAGTGATGCACTGGGGTTTGGCAAGGGGAGGGGGCTCAGTCTGGCAATGTATTCAACCCAGCTCAATAAACCATGTATTAAATAACTGCAGGCTGGTGGTGTCTTACAGCTGTTTAACCAGGGGACATTCCTGGAGGCCATGCAGGCTCTTTGTGGAGGTCATGCTTGGAACAGACTTCCAGGATAAGCCAAATTCCCACCCCAATCTTGTTGTACAAACTCACTTTGCCTGTAGTCTCACCCCCAGTGATGGCTGAATCACAGAATGGCTTGGGCTGGAAGGGACTTTAATGATCATTTCATTTCAAGCCCCCTGCCATGGGCAGGAGCACCTTGCAGCAGACCAGGGTGCTCGAGATGAACTGTTCAGAGTTGATTTGGGAGCTGTGCTCCAGAGTGATGACATGGCACCTTCTCCCATTGCTCCTGCACTCTTTGATGTCCAGGAGACCATCTGCTGAGAGCCCACGTGGGCTGGGGGAGGTCCAGGCCGGGGAGGGAAGCTCATGCCTTACAGCAGCTGATGAAGCTGATGAAGCTGATGAAGCTGATGAAGCTTCTAGCCCAGACGGCAGCCTCCAAAAAATTGCGGAAATCTCATTAGCAGCACTTAATTTCTGCACACTGGGGCTCCGCGTGGTCCCTCTCCCGCAGCCCCCTGGGGGTGTTCTCCGGCTGTCCCATCACCCTGTTCCCTTGCTCCCCCGCCCCCGCTCCCCCGCACCGCCTCCCGTTCCGCACCGCCCTCGCACCGCCCGGTGCCGCCGCACCGGGACCGCCCGGCCCGGGGAGCCGCGGGAGCGGCCGCAGCAACAGGTGGGGCCGGCCGGGATCGCGGCCGAACCGCCGGCACCGGCACCGGCACCGCGCTGACACCGGCACCGGCACCGCACCCAGAGCCGGAGCGAAGCAGAGCCGCCCCGGCCGAGCCGGTAAGGGACCCCCGGGCTCCGGGGCAGTGGGGGGCGGTGGGGGTCGGCCGTGCTGCGGAGCTGTGCAGGGTGCCCGGCCCCCGGCGGGGCCGGAGGGCGGGCAGGAGCATCACCCCCGTACACCCCCGGGACTGTGGGGCCCTCGGAGCCCTTCCACGCAGTGGGAACCGGCATGGAATAACGAGTCCTTGTTCCCCCGGAGAGACAGACCTGTCAGAGCTGTTAGAGCCCGGTACATTTTGCAGGCCCAGAGGGATTCCCGGGAAGCTCAACTTCATATCCCCAAGCAGAATCCACAACTCGCGGCAGGGCTGCGGGCAAAGCTGCAGACAGCATCCTTCAGGTATGAGCATCCCTCAGGTGTGAGCATCCCTCTGTGGTACCCTGAGGATGGCCACACCTGAGGGATGCTGCTGTTACCAAGGGAATGCCTTTAGCAGGAGGATTCTGCTTCACCAGAAGAACAACAACTTGGTTCCCATAATGACATCACATGGGACATTTAATTCCCATCAGAAAGGTTCCCTTGGCCTCTCAGATCTCCCCTCTATGAAGAGCTCTTTTCCCAAGCTGGCCCAGGCAGCAAGGAGGGGCATGAGCAGCACCAAAGGCAGAGGAAAGGTGTCCCACCTGCTTCACCTCCTGCCTTGCCCCTGGCAGCTCTGGGGTGTCCTTTGGGGTTCCTATATCATCCTATTTACTGTGCTAGGCAGTGGCTTGTCTCTTCACCTCCTGCCCCCAGTCAGGCTGGCAAACCATACCCTTTGTTTACTTTAAAAAACAAGCTCACCTCCAAACACTTCTTTGGTGAAACCCTTGGAAACCCGACTTGTACCAGCTCACGGACCAGAAGGGAAGTTAAATGGAAGCAAGGAAAGCAAAAGAGCTCCATATCTTGTTATTTAAAATCTTGGTGATGATTAAGTCAGTCTGATGATCCTTAGAGTCTGACTCATCATTTTTTTTAAACACTCAGGCTTGGTGAGATAGGAATTTACTGCTGATGTTCTAAAGCAGCAAACTACTGCATCCCCCGTAGAAACTGGTAGCAGGATGGGGCAGAGGCTCCCAGGCCCATCTCCACACCCCATCTTGCAGCTCCCTTTGTCCACCTCGGTGATCTCTGCAGAGATAGGGGTAGGGGAGCTGAGGTTTCTATTTCTAATTAAACCAAATTAAGCTGTCCTGGAAAAGATATCCAGTGTCACTCCACCCTTGTTTTCCAGTCTCACGAGCCCAGCCCCTCACTCCTTTGCCAGGGCACATCATACACAAGGCATACCCAGTGTTCCAGGAAATAACGCCGTGTCATATCCCCTCCACCCACAGCTTCCCTTCAGTGATGGCCTTGCCAGAGCGCCCAGAGGCCGTCCTGCTGCCCAGGAGCTGCTGCCACCCCCAGGGAGCTGCCAGCGGCCATGCTGAGCTGGCTGGCTGCAAGATGACCCTCACCACCACCACACCAGCCACCAGTGTGGCCCAGGCCTTCTTCTGCCTCCTGCTCTGCATCCCCTGGGGCAGCTCCTGCCCCCCCAGCTGCCAGTGCACGGAGCGGGCTGGGGCAAAAGCTGTCCTCTGCAGCTCCCGGCACCTGGAGGAGATCCCCAAGGACATCCCCAGAGATGTGGTGTTCCTCAAGCTGGACGCCAACAGCATAACCAGGATCCCCAGCAATGCCTTCAGGCACCTCTCCCACCTGGAGGAAATCGACCTCTCCAGGAATGCCATTGAGAAGATTGACAGGGCAGCTTTCAGAGGGGTGGCAGCTGGGCTGCGGACCCTTGACCTCTCCAGCAACCGCATCCGCAGCATTCCCAAGGAGGCCCTGCTGGCACTCAGTGCCAAGCTCCGGCTGGCCAACAACCCCTGGCATTGCGAGTGTGCCTTGCAGGAGGTGCTGTGGGAGGCACGGCTGGACCTGGACTCCATCCAGGACATCACCTGCCACACGGCTCCGCGGGAGGAGTACGTGGGCAAGCCACTGCTCCAGGTCCTGGATGCCGGCGTCAACTTCTGCAGCGTGCGCCAGAGGACCATGGACATCGCCATGTTCGTCACCATGTTCGGCTGGTTCGCCATGGTCATCGTCTACATCATCTGCTACGTCCGGCACAACCGGGAGGACTCCTGCAGGTACGGGGACTACCTGAGGTCACTGCCGAGCGCCCAGCCCCACGCAGAGACCACCAGCACTGCCCTGTAGCGTGGGGCTGGAGCTCCAGCTTCCACCTTCTTCAAAGACAGCCGGTGGCCACCTGGTGGGCATCAACGCTTCTTGGCAGGACTCCCCAGTGCTTTCTTCAGACAAGTGCCACCACTCCCCCCTCCCCAGTGACACTGGACTGAGTGTGAGCAAACTGCCTGGGGGAGGATGCCAGGGACACCCCATGTGGGCCTGTCCCTGGAGACCAAGTTCCTGGGAACAAACATCCCCAGCCAGACCCAACCAGAGCTGGGCTCGCAGGGAATGCAGCCCCAGCCCCATGCTTGTTCCTGGCAGGGAGAGATGAATTGTGTGGCCAGGAGATCCCTGGGGTGCAGAGGGTCACTGCAGAGGGGTCACCCCATCCTGGCCCCAGTGAGGCATCAGCCTTGCAAGGGCAGGACATCCTCCCCAAGCCCCCTCCCCACCTCGCGGTGCCTTGGCAGCCTCTGCCTGCCTCCAGCAATGTGGGGGCAACTCCAAAACCTTTGTTTCCTCAATAAAGCCCTGCACTTAGGAAAAACCCTCAGGATTTGTGCTGTGCTGGGAGCTGAGTGTCCAAGGAGGGCGGTGGTGCTCAGGGGGCTTATCCTAATTCAATTTCTCCCAAAGCAGACCAGCCTAAATTCAATGTATCAGCATGACTCCCATTAGGTGTCATCCCCTCCCATCCTCAGCTGAATCTGCCTCGAGCAGGGACCAGTTGCCCAAATACACCTGGTCTTGCCTTATCTTGCCCTTCCTTGGGGCTAAATTAGAGTTGCTGCTCACAGCTCGGTGATGGAGGCAAATCAAATTCTCCCTTTTCTCACGAGGGAAAAATGGTCCTTCCTGGCAGAGCCAGCTGCAAATGCACTGAACAGGGAGAGGAGGGAGGGATGCAGAAGCTCACCCTGCAGGTCTGGACCCTGGAAAGGCTCAGGCTGTGACCCCCCAGCCCTTCTTGATGGGGCTGGCACCTCCTGAGTGCTCCCCAGTGCCAGGGTGGGTGGCCCAGCTCAGCAGGAAATCTGGCTCTGGGGAAGGCTGAGAGGTGTTCTGGGACACTCAGGTGAGGCAGTGTGTTCTGGGTGGGGGAAACAGAGGGGCACCCTCACCCCAGCACACTCCTGAGCCCAGGGCCACCTCATCCTCACCAGGCCACTCGTGGCCATGGACATTCAGGGCTGACTTGCTGGGTGAAGGGAGGGATGCCTCCGCCACGGGCAGAGCAGCTCAGTTACCCATGTAGGAGAAAGGCTGGGTGCACACAGTTTATTAGAGCTCTGGTTAAGCAAAAGAGTCCCTCAGCAAAGGTGAGGAAAAGAAAAGAGGCCACAGTTTCACCTGAAGCAGTTTTGGGTTATCCCCATGCCCGTTGTAGCTGGATTGGTCCAATTGCAAAGCAGGTTTTCTTGGGAGTCACTAACCCTATGCAAAGGTGCATGGACCAGCAAGGACCAGCACTGGCCCTCAAACACACCAACAGGTTTGTGCAACACACACAACACTTGTTGAGGGAGACCCAAACCAGCCATGGCAGAGTGGGAGGGTGGGCAGGCACCTGTGGCAGTGGCATGGAGGTGACATGAAGAACGGCTGCAGTGTCAAACCAGATGGTCCTCAGGAACATCACAGCCCCAGGCAGACACAGCCAAGGCTGGACACACTTTTTTTTCTGTAATTTCTCACATGTTTACTCCCCTCTGCCATGCACCCATCTCAGCAGCTCATGCTCTGCTCTGCCTCTTCCTTCCCTGGCTTTGTGCAAGCTTTGGCCACAGCTGCTGGCAGCTCTGGGTCCCACCTGGGGACTGGAAATTGCCAAGTGTCACAGTCCTGGTAAGCCAGGGGATGCACCCAAGCTCCATGAACCTTGGACATGGCTCTGGAATGTGGTGGCAGAGCTTTCCCAGGAGAAACAGCCTCTGGACAAAGCTGCAGGGAGCCCTGGAGCTCTGCCTTCCTCCTCCTCTTCTTCCCCTTCTTCCTCCTCCTCCTCCTCCTCCTCCTCCCTTCCTGCAGAGCATACAGCCAGCCACTGCCCAGCTGATGCTGCAGCAATTCCTGGGCTCTGTGGTCCATCTTCACCTGGATGCCCAGATTGCCCTGGTCCTGGTGATGAGCTGAGCATGTCTCAGCTGCCTCAGGTGGTTTTCAGCTTGAGCACCTTGGAAAGCGGCTCCTTGGCACTGGAGTAGAACAGGTAGGAGCCCTCAGGGGTGTGAAACGCCTCCCAGTCTCTACAGCCCACAGTGGGGAGGTGGTGGGCTGCCACGAAGCCTTCGTAGCCTTGCCACCTGCACAGGGAAGGCAGTTAGCTCCTGGGCTGTGAGGTGGGCACCTGGGAAGGGCAGGGGAGCTGAGCCATGGGGCTGGCATCTCCCACCTCCCTGCCATGGCTCAGGGTGGGATGTCCCTCACCGGGGCTTCCCATTCCTGCTTGAAAACAGGGAACAATCCTATCCATCCTCCCTGGGCAGATGCACCAGGCTGTGCCCATGCAGGGTTGATCCCCAGCCCCCCCAGCCTGCCCTCTGCAGTACCTGTAGATGATGCTGTTAACAGAGAAGGTGAAGCCATTGAAGGAGTTTGCGACCACCAGAAAAGAGTCATCTCCCACCGAGAAGAACTCCCAGTCCAGGGCACTGGGGATGAAATAAGCAGAGGGGCAGGTAAGATGACCCCTGTGTGCCTCGTTGAAGGACCCCACCCCAATCCCTGATGCCCTGAGGACACACAGAAAACCCTGCTCTTCCCAGGCAGCTCCTGAAAGAAATCCACCCTCGTTCCCAGATCTAGGACCTTCTCCCAGCTTCCACTGGGATGTGGTGCCAAGGAGCCACCACCCACCACCCTCCCCACCAGTCTCAGTCCCTGGGAGAGTGAAAGCCTGCAGGAACCCTCCAGGAGACAAGCAAAGTTTTTAGTTTTAAACTAAAAGAGGAGAGGCCCTGACACAGGTTGACCAGAGCAGCTGTGGCCGTCCCATCCCTGGAAGTGTCCAAGACCAGGTTGGACGGGACTTGGAGCAACCTGGGACAGTGGAAGGTGTCCCTGCCCATGGCAAGGGGTGGAATGAGATGGGCTTTAAGGTCCCTTCCCAACCAAACCATTCTGGGATTCTGTGAGACCTCAGTGGATGGACATGGACCGAGGAGCACCCTGGATCCTTGCACAGGTACCTGTAGGTGAGAAGGTCCTGGAATTTAACAAACATCTGGGCCGTGATGTTCAGCTCATAGATGGAAGAGTTGATGGCATAGAAATTGGAGGGTGCTGGCATCCTGCTGTCATAGCTGTGGCTGTTGGCAACAGCCAGAAAGACTCTGTCCCCAATATGAAAAACCTCCCAGTCGGCTGCACCAAATGTCTGTGGGGAAGGAGGCCGTGAGAAGCTGGATGTGGTGCCCTGTCTAAACACAGAGGGGGGACTCAGGAGCAGTGGCCAAGCCTTACCAGGATAGACTGGAAGAGCTGGAAAGAGCCACTGAGCCAGATGTAGATGTGTGAGTAGATCTTAGTGGACGTGCCATTGAATGTGTTAGCTACAGCCAGGAAGGAATATGGTCCGATGGTGAAAAATTCCCAGTCGTAGGCTCCAGAGGTAGGAATGGTCTGGTTAGTTTCAAACAGCCCTGTCCTGGGGTTCCACCTGTATATCACGCTGTCTATATTGTGGTTGTTCCCTGGGGAGAAAGATGTGCACCGTGAGGGAAAGCAATTCCTGGTTTGTGCAGGAAACAAGACCCAGAAACAGGCTCAGCTACATGAATATTTGCTAACAGGTCACGAGGCTGTTTGCAAGTGACCTGCTGCTTCCAAAGAAGTAGCCAAAGAGATTCTACAGCCTCCACCCCTACCTAAAGACCCCCTCCATCCCTACCTAGTGTCTCCATCCCTAGAGCCTCCATCCCATGGAACACACCAACAGCTCGTCCTGGGTGCACAGCAGCAGCTTTGTGGCAGCCCTGGCAGAGGAGGGACAGGCTTTATCCCCACACAAGCAGCACTCCAGAGGCACCATGCCAGCATCCCAGGGTGGACAAGCTCTGCCAGCTGTCCCACAGGGTGTCCCTGTCTCGTGGGGCCAGTCCCAGCTGTGTCCCTAAGCTCCTGACATCCCCCCTGCCCTAAAGCATGTGCTCCATCCAGCTCCTGGGCTCTGCTCAAGCATCTCAACCTCGTGCCTGTGTGGGACCCAGCTGGCTTTAAATCCTCTTTGCAACAGAGACTTGAGAAAGAAAGACTGCAGGAAGAATGGGAATGGCCACATGGGTAAGTGGCCGCTCCTCAGGGACTGACCTCCAGCCCCCTCTAAGGGAAACATCCCCAGTTTGGCTTGGCCATGATGGCTTTAACCCCTGTGTGATGTGCATGGCTGGCAAAGGGACCACACTGCCACAAGGGTCGGTCTCACCCAAACTGGCCTTGATGGAGTCCAACAGGGCACACAGGGCGTTTCCAGCCCAGCTCACCTGGCCCAAGCAACCTGCTGACAGCTCTGACCCTGGTGCCAGAGGTGCTGATGCCCCCTGAGGCAGCCCTGATGGCAGGGAAGGAGCCCACCATCTGGCCCATCATCTGAACCCAGCTGGGAGCATCCCAGAGAGCCAGGGCTGTGCCATTCATCCTCTGCTCCGAGGGTGCACATCCCAACCCAGAACAACTCATGGCCTGGGGAGGGGAATGAGGCTGGTGATGTCTGCAGGGTGTCCAGGGAGGGGTGGCAGCTGGCTCTCACTCAGTTTCCTGTGTGCCCACAAGGCCAAGGATCTGGCTTCACAAGAGGCTCAATCTGTGGCACTACCAGGTTACGCAGTATTGGGGATAAAAATGAAAAGAAGCAGAAAGATTCAGCACAGACACCATCCCCACTCCTGTCCTTGTCCCCTGCAGTCAGAAACCCAGAGGATGACTGTGTCAGCCACTTCCTCAAAAGCTTTTCTCTCCTCTGCAAGGCTTTGGGTGTCCTGAGGGACCCCATGCTCACAGCTCACACCTCCCTGGCTTTGCCCTGCCCTCCATTCCACCTGAGGATGCACAGGGAGCATGCTCTGAGCAGGATACCTGCCAGGGTCCCAGATACCACCCCAGGGAACACTGAGGGCTGGCTACCTTCTCTGTGGTTGACCACAGCAAGGAAAGCCTCTCCCTCAATGACAAAGGCCTCCCAGTCCCTGGCGCTGTGTGTGGTGATCCGCTGGTATGTGACGAACTTCGCTTTCCTGTGGCTCCACTTGTAGATCACAGAGAACTCCTGACCCCTCTCATTCTGCTCAAAATTTGCCACTGCCAGGAAGATCTGGAAAAGAAAAAGCCAGGACATCTTGGTTTTCTCCTTTCAAATGAGCATGGGCAAGAAAACGCAGGGGGAGGTGGGATGGAGGGCAAGGGGTGGAGGTGGCTGGTGTGGGACAGGCTGGCCCTGGCTGG